TTTTTTTTTTTCCAACAAACTCAAACTTTCCAAAGAACTGTTTAATGCCCTGGCTACTTTTTCTAGAATACTGTTCTGGGAACTAAGGGAATCTGATCTGTTGAAAATTTTCTGAGAAGTGATTTCAAATAGAATCGCCACATTTTCAACCAAAATGAAAATGTTGATGGTTTTTTGCTTTTTATTAATTTAATTTAAGCCTAAAACCTGTTTTTGATGCTTTGTATTTTATAGACTTTATGGACATGTTGACATGTTCCTTATAAGAATTATCCATCTATGAAGAGATGTTGCGAACACTCTGGCCTGAGTTGAAGGCAAAGTACCAGTTGCTCCCAGCGATTCCTATGGGAAGGCTTTATTTATTTAGTTTTTAACTTCTGACTGTGTAGCTTGAGCAAAGGTACAGCCTCCAAGATTTTAGGCTTTATGATATACACACCCAAAATAGCTACTTTTCTAGGGCTACTTTGTTAGTGAATGGGAAGATGAGAAAACTTTCAACTGCCTGTCTAGGGAGATGACAAAGAAGCTGGTCTGGCTCTTCCTGGAATTAGGTAGGAACAAAAGGGCGTCTGCTTTAAGAATTTGTAACAACCCATGGATTGGTGGGTTCATGGCTTAGGAGTTGAGAGTTTTATCCACCAAGTCCAGGACTCCTACACTGTGAAGTTAGCGAAGTGGCTGGTGATATTGCAAGGTCACACATCAGAAGTAAATACATATTTCTTTTTTTTCCCCCTCTTTTTATTTATTTATTTATTTTTTTGAGACAGAGTTTTGCTCTTGTTGCCCAGGCTGGAGTGCAATGGCACGATCTTGGCTAGCTGCAACCTCCACCTCCAGGGTTCAAGCAATTCTTCTGCCTTAGCCTCCCGAGTTGCTAAGATTACAGGCGCACGCCACCACGCATGGCTAATTTCATATTTTTAGTAGAGATGGGATTTCTCTGTGTTGGTCAAGCTGGTCTGGAACTCCCAATCTCAGGTGATCTGACCGCCTTGGCCTCCCAAAGTGCTGGGATTACAGACGTGAGCCACTGCGCCTGGTCATAAATACATATTTCTGAAAGGATTGTGTCCCATGGATTTTCTTTTTCAGTACCCAGAATCTTCTCCACATCCCCAGTATTTTAAATACGGAGGTAGATAGGTGTATGCATGCATGTGCTAATTCTACATCTGGTAATATGAATGAACATGCTGAAGAGTCAAACTACTGAGCAGTAATTTTCAGTACTTTTTTATACTCTTAATAGAAGCCAATAAAAGGATTAAGCGTTTTACTTAATGTAATATAATTCAGATAACCATGGTGAAGTCTGCACATGTTGAGAGGTATAAAACATATGACTATATTGGGGGCTACTTTATTCATAGTTTAATTATTGAAACTTTATTTTTGAAAGTTCTACTGTATGTGCAAGTAAAACAGATTTTCTCACTAAAATTAAACAATTATTTTTAAGAACTATGTAAATGAAGGTAACTATGGCTTCCTTATGAGAACTACTTACATATTGAAATGATTTTTATTTTTACTGACTTTTTCTGATTACAAATGTAATTATGGAAAAAAAAACCCTTATGGACATACACATAGAGAATAATGCATATAGATTTTGAAATGTTCTTTTTTCTTAATAGTGCATTTAAAATATTGTAGCATGTCCTGACTTTTAGGATTTTGCTTTTGAATAACTGTTGTATAAAATTAATTTAACCAGATTTCCCCTTTTCTCCAGATTTCTTTACTCCTAACTCCTTTCCTCCCTCATCACCTTCTCTGCTTCCTCCTCTTCTAGTTGCTCAGGAGAGAAAAACGAAGTACACTTTTCTCTCTTTTTTTTTTTTTTGAGACAGAGTCTCGCTCTGTAGCTCAGGCTGGTGTTCAGTGGTGCAATTTTGGCTCACTGCAACCTCTGCCTCCCAGGTACAAGCCATTCTTCTGCCTCAGTCTCTCAAGTAGCTGCGAATACAAGCATGCACCATCACCCCTGGCTAATTTTTGTATATTTAGTAGAGATGAGGTTTCACCGTGTTGGCCAGGCTGGTCTTGTACTCCTGACCTCAAGTGATCCCCCCCCACCAGCCTCCTAAAGTGCTGGGATTACAGGTGTGAGCCACTGAACCTGGCCTGAAGTATACTTATATTATGTGATTGAATCTGCATAGGGAAATAAATGTTAGTTAGAATAAACAAGGTTTTGCAGGTTTGGCTGTACTTGATACTTAGATGCTAGTTTGCTCACTGATGATGAAACCACATCTTTGGTTATATATTTGTCTATCAGATCTCAAAATGTTCCCCCTTTTGGAAATTTGCCACACTGTATCGGAGTAAATTTTTCTGGGATATAAAGGGAAATTATAGACTACATAAAGTTATGTCATGTTCCGCATAAGCACCATGCGAGTATTTAAATGTAAAGTAAATAAAATTAAATAAAATTAAAAATTCAGTTCCTCAAGTCAACCCACATTCGAGTGCTCAAAAGCCACATGTGGCCAGTGGCTAACCATATTGAACAAACAGCTATAAAACATTTTTACCATCACAGGCAGTTCTGCTGGATAGACTTGGGGTGAAGTCTATATGTGTTGCCTGTTCATTAGAATTTAGAAATTATTTTTTCCTTTTGGTTATCATAAATACTAATAAAAAGCAGAATTTCTGTCAGTATTTTTGGGAACAGTGAACGGCTCAAAATTATTTAGAGTAAATTTTTACTTTCCTACCAACTTAATTTTTAAAATGATGCAGTGAAGTAAAATACATATTGACACAGGATAACCAGCCTTTTGAAATTCTGGGAGAACATTTTTAAAATGTTTGATGTGGTACAAAGTCCAGGAGTGGGCAGGCTAGGGGTGGAGTATTCATCAATTGGGTCAGGATCTAGAGAAGATGATGGAAGAGAAACTGACTATTTGTAAAAGACACTCAGAAGAAGCAAATGAAATGGAGAAATACCATCTTTATTTGGGGCACGTGATTTTAGGTTATATTTAGAGTATTCATAGAAATTAACCTGGGAAAATTAGAAGCCATCAGAAAGAAAACATAAGGGATGGAGAGGAACCACCAGTGATCCTCTAGTCAATGAAAACAATCACGGCAATTTGTTAGGTACTTAATCCAGCCTTCCTTTCTATGCCCTACAGACAGGCCGTACTCACTAGACAGCCGAGGATGGCAGTGAAGAACACAGATGTGATGTTAGTCTGAGAGGAAAAGTGGGTGATTAGGAACTGTAGCACTGAGCCAGATGGCTTGAGCTTGAAATCTCGGCTCTGCCTCTTACTGTCTGCAAGAACATAGCAACTTGTTTAACTCCTGTTTATCTGTAAAATGAGATGGTCATGCTATCTCCCTATTTATGTTCTTGTGAGAATTGAGGAATTAAAATATTAAACTCATTAAAGACTATGTTACTCCTATTACTGTCAGCTATAAGGTGGGTAGTACAGGCCCATGGTAAGTTCTTAATAAATCTCTATGTTTATTATAATAGGGAACCAGACATTTAAACAAGTAATTGCAGTGAGGTTAGATGAGTTTTGTGATAGGGTAAGTTCAGCAGTGAATTAGATGAGTTTTGTGGTGGGGTAAGTTAAGTATTCTATGATAGTATATATTGAGGTGACTTAATTCTTGATAATTATTTAAACAGTGAATTTAGCTCTTAGTATGATTGTTTTTTGTTTTAAATTATACTTTCATAGTTTATCAAATTAAATCTAACTCTTTTTATAGCTTGCAGTCTTCAAAGTTTGTTTATTACCTTGATATGATACATCTTTAAAGGTTCCAAGATATCCAGTAAAAATATGGCTCTGATCATTCTGGTAATATCATAAGTGTCAAAATTCTTTCCCTGAAGCTTTACATTGTGTACTAGGTTGCCAGAAAGGTAATAGAATCCTCTCTTAGCAATAGCATCTGGCTAATCAGAATAAATTTATCTTCCAGACTTTTACAATCGAGTTTGGTTAGCTTTGAGTATAATTAAAGAGTGTATTACTTGATACCTATTAAAGACAGGAAATTGTGAGGTGCAACTGTTTTTCATATATAATGGGGGACATTTTTCTTCAACTATAAATAAGAAACTAAGGTAAGTTTTCAAGTGTGAAATGTTCAGGACACCGGTACAAGAGCCAAAATAGATGTCACTTAAGTACTGATAGTTATGTGTTTGTCAACATGTCTTTTGTTTCTCAACTTTCTGCTAGATTTTATGAGGAACTCAGTTTGTCTTATATGGCATTTATGTAGATCCTTGCTTTTGTGTTTCTTTGGTCACAATAATGGGAAATGAAGGACCAGTTTTTTTAAATTACTATAATTATTTTGCAATATGAAAAATGATCTCATTTATGCTAAATAATTAAAAGAAATGTCACTAGTTATGAGACATCCCTTCATTTCTTAGAAATTTGAATTTGAAGGAGAAAGTTGGCAATTTCTAAGAAAGAATGAATAAGTTTAATAAAAGGAACAGTGTGCTTAGGCAGATGCTCCTGGATGTGGCACCCAGGCACAAACGGTGCCAGCTTCCTCCCTCTTGACAGCGATTCCATGCCAAACTGCCAAACTGTGGCTGGCAGTTTATTGCTTTGCTTTAATCATAATTTATGTTTTTGGCAGGAATATAAACTGCAACTGATACTTGAAATATTGCAACAATAGATTTTAGGTATGAGAGACGTCACAAAACTTACATGTTTATTGAGGGGAAAGACAGATTCTTAGTTTTCACTTAGATTCTGTTTGATACAGACTGTTTTTTCCATCTGACGCCATGTGGTAAACACTGGACCGTAGTAATAGATGAATTAGGCACACATACATGTCACCTATGGGTTTATATGAGCATATACAAACATATAACTGTAGAATATTCAAGGATTCAGATTCTCTTTTCAAGTATAAAAATGTGCAACTGTCTGAGATTGTTTGCTAGCAGGTGAACTTACATGCATTTGATTTTCTTCCAGATTCATGAAAAACTACACTATTATGAGAAGCAGAGTCCAGTGCCCATCCTCCATGGTGCGGCAGCCTTGGCCGATGACGTAAGTGTGCCTGTCCAAGCTTACCAGGACGTGTCTGCCACAGACCTGGCCCAGGCAGAACCTGTCCTAGTGCAGACAGATGCGTGTGACCCTATGAGGGAAAAGCAGAAGAGGTTGCAAATATTTCCAGAAGTCCTGTCATCACTGAGCTTATGTTAATATTATGTTGATTTCCATTTACTTTCCTGTTCTAAAAATTTTATATGTAGCTACTCTCTTGTTCTGCTTTCGTAACTACGTAATAGAAATTTTAGGCTTTAAACTCATGTAGAGAGAGAAGCTGTCAGCTGCTGGTGTTCTGAGAAAGTCACAGACAAGAGGAATGCTTTGGAGAAATAAAGACAAATGAGATAGCTATATTGCTGACAGTACTAAAAAATGACAGATACTAAGATACGAACGAGGCATATGAAATATGTAAAAAGACAGGATTGTTTTTAAAATGGATTATAAAACATAGTAATGATTTATGGATATTAGACTTTTCCAAATTACCTTCATAACCAAAAAATAAATTTTAGAAGCAGTTGGCATTGATGGAGTAGTTAATTTCCTGTAGCTATAATTTTATTTTAAACTTGGGGGAAGGGAACTAACTCACTGATTCTTTCTGTTAACTTTCGGACTCGGATGAATTGAGAACACACCTGGATAAACTATAAAGGACACGAAGCTGGAAGAGAAATACGTTTAGTGCAAAGGGCTGGTTTTAGTGATATCCCATAGCTTATTTGTTGCTTTTAATATTTTTCCCTTTATTTTTTATAAAATAATCTATAATTCAATGTGGTAAAATATCTGGGCCATAATATAATTAAAAAATTGGCCATTTTGAGAAGTTGATTTTATTTGACCTACTTTGCATTCTAATTTAGAAAATACGCATATGTATAAATATCCAAGCTGCATGCTATTTGTTTAGTTCCCAAACATCTTCCTTTCTATTTTTATCTACAAAGATTACAAGTGTGTTTAATATCTATTTAATCAGGAAGCTTACTTCTGCATTATTGAACCAAAAAATTTTAAATGAAGGTGAATAAAGATATAGATATGGTTGTTGAAATAAGGCACAGTTGCCCCCCAAGAAAGCCTTAAAAACCAGTTTTAAAACATTTACTATTCAGAGTTTTGGGAAACATTTGTTTATAAAGCAATGTTGTTGTGACCCAATCATATTGCAATAATATTGCTTTATAAAAAATTAGAAACTGCCATGTAAATATGATAAACCATAGTATCTTATAATTTGTCAGAGCAGTATATTTAAATGTTAAAATGTATTATGTTTTAAGTGATTAAAATGTGCAAATGACCTTTGTGTCTTTTTGTAAGTTAAAAATTCTGTAGAACTATTACCTCAGAAAAGTAAAAGCAATTTTTGAAAGGTAATTAATGACTGTATAATTTTCTATGATTTTATTTTTTGTGTATAATTTATATTATGCCCTTCTTTTAGAGAAAAGTCCTTTTCCAGAGATAAGAACAATATTTTTAAGCTTGGTAGAAAAAGTAGGAGCAAATGGAAATTTCATGCAAGGTTTTAAGAAGGGTTTTTAAATAAAGATGCATTTATATATGCCACATATTTCATAATTCTAATCTTTTTTTTCCTGTTTGAATCTTGTTTTTCTTCTTATGAAAATTATGTGCTTTTTCCTATACCCTAAAATTGAATTGGAATTTGATAAGACTATCTCTTATGGAAGACATGAGGCAGGTTCGCAGTTCTAACGCTTTCTTTATGTAGAACGCAAATGGCAATTCTTGGTTATTATAGTAGGGAACAGTAAGCGTTTTTGGTACCAGGGTAGCTGTTAACCCATTATAGCTCATTTTTCAATTGGTATTATGATTGGTTGGTATTTAACAGATTTCTTCATCTGTGTGGGTAAACATAATAAAAGTTTCAGGCCATTTGCTCTATTAGGGGCATTCTAATTATTTTTACCCTAGCTCTAAACAGCACAGCTACTGTGGGTTTTTGGAATCCCCATGGGTTTTTGGAAACTCTGTGGATTTCACCACCTCATTCAGAAGCTCTGTTTTTGTGGAGGATGGGAGAGGTTACAATGTCAAAGCTTTATCCAGTTCTTACAAGTGGTCCTTTGTCTAGGTGCAAAAGACCATTCACACAGATGAAGTGCTGGGGTTTGCTCTCCTTGCAATAAATCAGAAGGTGATCTGGCTGATACGATTACTTGATTTGTTCTCAGCCAAGAACCTAGGCTCGGATCTGGACTACCGAAGGCCTAAGAAGAAGAGCAATGATTGATGATCTGTTTTCTTTTATGCCGACCTCTCCTTAAACATTGGAAAGTAATAGCTTTGAGCAGACAGATCTTTAGTTGTCACACACCCAGCCTCACAATGCTCTTACTAAATGTTCTTTACGTCAATGTAATCTCCCTTGCAGCTGGCCGAAGAGCTTCAGAACAAGCCATTAAACAGTGAGATCAGAGAGCTGTTGAAACTACTGTCAAAACCCAATGTGAAGGTGAGGACATGTTACACTGGTAATAAATACCTTCAAACAGGGCCACTTTCTGAGCCTTCAGATGAATTTTGTTTCAAGCATCAATTCTCAAGTAAATGTGTTTCAAACAGGGCACAGTATTTTAATAGCCTAAATCCTATTAATGAGAAAGAGGTGAGCTTTTGATTATAATGTGATGAGAAACTGCAAAATATGCTAATTTGGAAGCTCAGAATTTAAGTTCTGACAAATATAATGTAGCTTCAAGGTCATTTTCCTTTTAAATAAGAGCACACTATACAGAACCTACTAGTAATTTTGTTTAGGCCCATTTTACTTGGGTAGTTAACGGAATTCCAATATGTTTGACAAATACACCTATTTCTCTGTAGGATCATTTCAGCATTCCTCTTTCTTTCCCCTTTCCCCTCCCCATTTCCTGTCCTTTTACTAATTTACGTTGCAAAATATAATTCCATTTTAGAGAGAAGAGCACTTTTCCAGTGTAAAATACCCATAAAATATTGGCAGACAGATTTCAATTCTCCCTTTCCCATTGCCTCTTAAGTTTATCACTTATTTTTCCTCCAAACGTGATCAGTCTATAGCTGACATTTCAGAATTTTTCTGCAGTTATTCTGAGGTTATTAGTGTACTAAATTCTGCACTGTATACATTTGGACTTGACACTGTGGCAATTATGTGTCAGATATTGTTCTATGAGTCAGAATTACATATGGATTACATAATTACATAATTAAAATGACCATTTAGCTTGAGATGATTACTGGTGAGCATATGTAAAGTGTTGAATAAAAATTTCTGCCAAGGTACAAAAGCTGGTTTCTACCTTTTTTGAGAAATAGCTTTTTGAATTGTGCTGTAGTTGGTCTTAAATTTATTTTTATAAAAAGAGAGATGGTATTAAATAAAAGATGAGGTTAAAAACATGCATGGACTATAAAACCTAATCCCTATATGTAAATATAAGTACATAAATGTATTGCTGTAAAGGCTAAACAGGCTATGATTAATGATGTGAGGGTAATTGATTTGTAGTGGTTCAGGAAATTCATTAAATTTTTGTTCTAAAAGAACAAGGATCAGATTAGAGCAGAAAACTTCCTTGATGTTAAAGACAAAGTTTGTAAAAACATTAAGAGAAGAAGATTTTTAGTGAGAGAATGTTCTGAAGATTTCTTCATTTGGTCTTAGACTTTACCTGAAAAGTTAGTATCACCCAAGGGAGGGTGAGGTTAGCTATGAGAAGTTTGTTAAACTCCTTTTTGAGATTATCGTGTTGGTTCAAGGGTATTAGAAATGAAAGCAGCGTGTTTCAGATGAAAAAAAAAATCCCTGATTATGGTATTTGGTTCAAGAGTGTTTCAAATGGAATAGATAATTATGCAATAATATACTGGATGAGAAATGGTATTTGGCTCAAGCGGGAGGTATGCCTTTAGACAGTATTAAGAAGGGCCATTTGATAAATTTTATAATAATTAGTTACATTTTATTATGTAAAAAGTATTTTAGGTAGATAATTTATTTTTCATATTTATCTAGTGGTGTGACTGAAGAATGGTGTAAAGTTAGCATGAAAGACATATATTTAATAAATATGTGTAGAAAATAGTTAATATTCCAGGATACGTATTCTTTCATTTGACAATGTCAGTTTGTAGCTAACTAGTCTTGGGAATAAAATATCTTTTTTCCCTTTTGGATCTAACATTTAACATTGCTTTTCTTGAAGTCATTCATATTATGTACCATCACTTTGGCCTCATTTCCTTATTACTTTAAGAAGTTAAGCCCCCAAATAGATTTTAGACTATTTCAGGATATAATCAGTTAATCAATTTTTGTCCTGAGAGTAAACTAAAATCTTTGTTTGTTTCCCTTTTAAGCAGAAGCAAGGTATATAGATTGTTAGTTGAACTGACAGTTAAAATATGAAAAATGTGACTCTAGTGTGTTAATTTGAATATTTAATTTCTGGTGGATTAGGGAAGTTATTTACTTTTTAAAGATTTGCTATTTCATTTTCAATGCTTTATTCCTTTTACTGAAAAGAAAGTTGATGTATATCTTCAAAGTAATAGAACTTTAAAAAAAACACAACAGATACACAGACACACAGACATGCACAGACACAAACACCCAAATATGCACCCACTCTGGGAAGCTATGTGGATAATACCCATGTTCTACTCATCTGCCAATTCTTTCTGAAAAATTTTATAACTTTCTTTGGCAGTTTATAAAAGTCACCAGAGACAGATCTTCATCCATTCATTTATTCTTAGATTTTTTTTTCTTTTAATGTCTAGTGTGTGCCAGGCTCTATGGATGCAGAATATAGAAGATTACACACACACACACACACACACACACACACACACACACTAGTGAAGCTGATAGGAGAAATACTAGATTTAAAAGAGGGAGCACATGGATATGATGTGTAATGAACAGGAATGGTGCTAAACCCAGACTTGGGCAAGGGGAGAATATTAAAGAAACCTTTACAGAGGAAATGGAATGTAAGTTGAGACTTCATTGTGGAGTTGGAGGAAACCATAAGGGGACAAAGGAGTGGGAGACGGGTTGGGGGTGGGATGTGAAAAAGAAATTATTCAGGTACAGGGAAGAGCATGTAAAGTCCCATAAAGGAAAACTTTAAAGATGTAAAAATGCAAAACCAGCCACAGAACGGGCAAACAGTGGCTTGCGAAGGAGGAAGGGGTAAAAGTTTGGAGCTGGGGAGTCAAGCCTTTTGAGTTGGATTTGCCCAGGACAGTCTGGTTCATGCTTGCAGTTCCAGCATTATTAGTAATAGCCTTTCTCCCACTTTCAACTGTTTTCCTATTTGGGTGATAAATTATATGGCCACACCTGAAATTGGGAGCTTCTCAAAAAGTGGGAAGCCATTGAAATGATTTGAACCAGGAAGTGATACATCACTCCGTATGTCGTCTATGGGAACAGGCTTTTGAGGCATTGGATGGTGTAGAATGGGAGGGATGCAATACTGAATAAAGGAAGGCCAGTGTGAGCCTGTAGAAATAGTTCAGATAGAACACTAGCATTTTGGGAGGCCAAGGCAGGCTGATCACCTGAGGTCAGGAGTTCGAGACCAGACTGGCCAAGATGGTGAAACCCCTTCTCTACTGAAGACACAAAAATTAGACAGGCATGGTGGCAGGCATCTGTAATCCCAGCTACTAGGGAGGCTGAGGCAGGAGAATCACTTGAACCTAGGAGATGGAGGTTGCTAAGCTGAGATCCTGGGTGGAAAAAAACAACAACACACACACCCAATTGAGGTTCTAAGGAAAGAGTGTGGGATGGGTGAGAGGAAGCATGGGAGATAGGCAGCTTGAGGGACAACTTCAATACATGGTCTTGGAATAACTAATAGTTTGGGAAAAAAATAAGAAAATTCGACACTAGAGTGAACTCCAAATAGATTAAAAATTAAAGTGTAAAAAGTTGAGCCATAAGAATATTCTTAATTGAAAAAATATATATTAGAAGAAAATTTGAAATTTACATGATAATGGAATAGAAAAGCATTTGAACCAAAAAAAAAGCAGGAATACACACATACAAACACAAGCATGCACCCATAAAGGAAAGAATATTTTAAAATTCGTAAGTGAGATTAGTAGGAATCATTTATTAATATATATGATTTATGATATTTGTCCTTAATAAGATGTGACAATTTATTACATTCACTTTATTTTACTTTTTACAAAGTGACTTGATAAAAACTTAAAAGGAAACAGAGATAATCTTTTTTGATAATACATAATTGTATTTTTCCTTCAAATTATAAAGAATATGGAAGCCCCTATTCTCATTGCTTTATTAGTGAGGATGAGTATCTTTTCCTATGCCTGTATGTTTTTATTTCTTCTGTGAATTGTATGTTCATATACCTCTAGGGACAACTGCTATTGGCTGGCTGCATTACCTTTCAACGTTTTCTGTATATGTAAATATTAAACATGATTTTCTCCCCAGTATATTCTATGGGATCATAGAATACATTACTTACTGTGATTTTTATTTTTTTTTACTTTTGATATTTTTGAGATATTGTAGCCTTCTCTTTGTGTCAACAAAATTATCTATTTAACTTAATCCTTGCAGATGAATCTTTGTTATTTCTGTTTTTCTGCTATGTAAATAACACTATGATGCACATCTTTTGTATATTAGGGAATTTTATGGAATGTTTTGTCAAAATATATTTTAATGAGGGCAGTACATTATTGGGGCATAAATCACATTTGGACATTTTACACTTTTGATCATTATTGCCAGTTTGTTGTTAAGACAGATCTTCTCGAGCACCTGCAGTATAGTGCATGAGAAGGCCTGTTTCCCTATGCAGTTGCAATTTATATGCAATTAATTGCATAAGCTCTTTTCAACTAATATTCCTTTTTTTTTTTTTTTTTTTTTTGAGACAGAGTCTTGCTCTGTCATCCAGGGTGGAGTTCAGTGGCACAATCTCAGCTCACTATAACCTCCGCCTCCTGGGTTCAAGCAATTCTCCTGACTCAACCTCCCAACTAGCTGGGACTACAGGTGTATGCCACCACACCTGGCTAATTTTTGTATTTTTTGTAGAGTCAGGGTTTTGCCATGTCAAACTCCTGGCCTCAAGTGATCCACTCTCCTCGTCTTCCCAAATTGCTTGGATTACAGGCATGAGCTACCATGCACAGCCTCAACTAATGTTCTCTTTTAGCTTTGCTATAAGAGAGTAGGGAATAAAATTTGCATGAGAGTAGGGAATATAAGCTACATGAGAGTAGGGAATAAAAATTGCAGATGTATGGCAAGCTTTCGGTAAGTACTGTATGATTAAATAATGGGTAGTAAAAATTTTGTTTTTCCTGATGCATTGTGAGTGATGAAAGAAAATATATATATATATATATGTTTCTCTTTAGTTACTTTCCTTTAATCTTACTTGCATTTTCTAGGACTGTGTAGAAATATGT